GAGGCAGCCCTGTACAAGGGTCCAAGGCTTGGTCGGCAAAAGCGAGTGCGAGTCTAGCCCCACTCTTCACTCAGTGGCTTACGCATGGTGCACAAACTGAACCTGAACATGAGCTCAGTATGGCCTCTAATTCCTCAGAGCTCCTGCACTTCTGTAACGACAAACTCATGCTTCTCTCAGGCCCACGGCCTCAAATTCTGTGAACAGGCTCTGATTGGCCCAGCTAAAGTCATGTGACTACACCTGACCAATCTGCTGGGGCCAGGGTGCAGGGACCTGTGGCATTAAGACATCCACTATAGACTGTCTTCCCTTGGCAATGGGATCACTCCCAGAAAAGAACACATCTGTGAGCCAGGCAGCCAACCTGCTGGCCGCTTCCACCCAGCCTAGGAGTTTTTTCTATGTGTAACTTTCATAAACTAATATTTATTTATTGTGCTATTATCTCATTAAATATTATTGAATAAACTGAGGAAATGCTTATTATGCCAATTATTATGGCAACAAAAATTCAGAGTGGAGAGAAGTAATTTATAATTTTTAAAAGTTCATGATGACTGAAGGAGTTTCAGGTTTTAATTGCCCAATGATTTAGTTTTGAATTTGGCAGAAATAAACTCAAACTTAGAAATCAAGGTATTTTTCTTTATCTTACATTATGATATTACCAAACTGCCTTTATCGTTCTGACATAGATTCATAATGCCTTCCCATCTCACCTATAAATCACTGTTTTCAAAGAAATATATGTTGATGTGTTTTGGGGACACTCCATTTTCCTCAGCTTATTTCAAGTGAATGGATGGTGATCTATTGGTATTCGTTCCATTATCAAATTTATCTGCACTCCAAAATTACAGTAATTTCAAACTCATTTTGCTTATACATTTCTCCAGAGCTTTTTTTCCAAATAGGAACTTTTAAAAATTATAAATTACTTCTCTCCACTCTGAATTTTTGTTGCCAGAATAATTGGCATAATTAACAGAATACCTCTTCCTTTATAATATTACATTTTCAACCCTCAGAAATTTTAATAGAAATGATGAGATCTTTAAAACTTTACCATTTGCCTTCGTTTGACTTCTTTATACTTCTGAAGACAAATGTAAGTTAGTTTGGTTCATCACTTAACTTCACAACTCTCAATCCACGTGCCGTGTCCTTGCTTGAAACTACGGCTTTCTCTACGTTTCCATCAATTTCAGGTTTACCCCAATCAATTTATGTTAATGGTGATTATTATGAGAATGAAACAGGCAGTAATTATCAGTACTATTCTTGACTGACTAAGCATATTCTCAGAAATATTTGAGAAAACTGAAAATACAGCTTTTATTTTGGAATAATTTTTAAATAACTGTAGTTACCTAAGGAGGGAAATGCATACCTAAATATAGCTATAAAATTGAAAGAGTTAAATGTCGTCAACATCAGCAATCATTAGGGAAATACAACTCAAAACCATGATGAAATTATTATCTCAGACCCATTAGGATGGATATTATAAAAACAAAAACAAAACATAACAAATGTTGGCCAGGATGTGGTGAAATTGGAACCACTGCTGGTCAGAACATAAAATGATGCAGCTGCTATGGAAAAAAATACAGTAGTTCTCTTAAAAATTAAACATAGAAACACCATTTGATCCAGCAATTCCAATCCTGGCTATATTCCCAAGAGAATTGAAAGCAATGACTCAAATATTTTCATATCCATATTCATGGCAGCATCATTCACAGTATCCAAAAGATGGAAACAACCCAAATGACCATGGATGGATGAATGCAAATAAATTCTGGCTCATGAGCTCTGGTCTAAATGTATGTGTCCCTCCAAAATTCATGAATTGAAATCCTAACCCCCAAGGTGATGGTGTCAGGAGTTGGGCCCTTTGGAGGTGATTTGGTCATGAGGATACAGCCCTCATAAATGGGATTGGTGCTCTTATGAAAAAAGGCCTAAGAAAGATCCCTTACCCCTTCTACTACGTGAGGACACAGCAAGAAGGTGCCATCTATGAATCAGGAAGTAGGCCTTCACCAGAAATAGAATCTACTGTCATCTTGATGTTGGACTTCACAGCCTCCAGAACTGTGAGAAATTAATTTCTGTTTATAAGCCACCTAGTTTATGGTATTTTGTTATAGCAGCTTGAACAGATTAAGACAGCATGCTACATGGATGAAACTTAAAGAACATGTTTAATGAAATAAGCCAGACATAAAAAGAAGAATATGATTCCACTTATATGAAGTACCTACAGTAGTCAAATTCATTGAGACAGAAAGTAGAACAGTGATTGCCAGGGACGGGGGGAGAGAGGACTTGGAAATTATTGTTTAATGAGTACAGAGTTTCAGTTTTGCAAAATGAAAAGTTCTGGAATTGATGGTGATGATGGCTGCACAACAATGTGAATGTACTTAACACGATTGAACTCTACACTTAAAAATAGTTAAAATGGTAAATTTTATGTATACATCAGCACCAACAAACAGATTTGTTCAGGAAAGAACACCAGTTAGAACGTGGGAATAATGCAATTAGGGTAGCATCAACTGAATATAACAAAGTGTTCATAGTTTAACTTTCTCTTTTCTAACTCTATGAAAAGTGGACCATTTAAAAACTATCCCAGAACACTATTTACATAACTGATATCTGATGGCTACACTTTTTTATTTTTTTCTTCCTTTTAGGAATCTGGAAGGAGGCATATTCCTTCACCAGCTGTAGCTCCCCTAGAGCAATGTCACATGCTCTCCAAATTTATCTTTCTGGGGTAATCTGCTTAATCACTCCCAGGGCTTAATCTTCCACCTATAGGTTGATAATTCACAAATCTATGTTTGCATCCCAGAAGCTCATTCTTGACTCTAGACCCAAGTATCCAATGCCTGCTGCATATCTGCACTCAGATGTTGTCATAGGAACTTCAATATAACAAATGCAAACCCCTCTTCTCCCCAGCTTCCTCTACTGCCCATGGCCCTCCTCTGGCGTCTTCCTCTTAGTTGTAAACATCTCACTATCCTCCCAGCCAGACCCCAAGCTCTGATAGTTCTAGCTGACTTCTCTGTCCCCTTCACCACCCATTTCCAACAAATCACCCAGTACTGCTGTGTCTCCTTTCTTCCCGTTTCTCCAATCCCTCCCCTTCTCTCTATCGTGGCTGTCACTGCCATTGCTCAGGCTCTCTGCTGTCCTCTAATCTACCCTCACGCTGCTGCCAGTGTGAACAGACTACTCTTGGCGGCCAATGGATTAAAATCTTTCATGGCCTTCTGCCTGATGAAACTCATACTCTTTAGCATTCAGCAGGGTCTTAATGGTTCTGCACAGAGCTTGCTTCTGTTTGGGGATGCCCTGCACTTGTGGGGGGCAGATCACTTCATAGGTGCTCAGTAAATCTCAATTGAATCAATCATCATTGTCATCAATTTTTCAGTCTGGCCTCTGTTTCCCTTTCTAGCCTCCTCTTCCAGCGTCCTCCACCCATACCCTTCACTCCAGCCACGCTTCACTTCTTGTGGTTTTCCTGGGCAGGATAAGCTATTCCTGCCTCCCTGTCTTTGCGCAGAATTTAAATGGCTTACTTATTCAAGAGCCCAGCACTGTCACGTGTGACCCTAAGTGAAGTACTTAATCTCACTAGGCTTCAGGTTCCTCATCTGTAAAATAGAGCAAATATCTACCTCATAAAATTGTAGTGAGTGTAAAATGAAATAACATGTAAACGCACTTTGTAAACCATAAACAAAAATATTATTTTGTGATTCATTAAAGCCTATCTTTTCAATAAATGCCACTACCTATAAGGAGCCTTTTTGACATTCTCAGCAGAAACTCTCTCTCTCTTCTTGGAAGTCCCACCATGCACAGCCTGTAGGCCTGTCACATGCTCCTTGAGTTATCCAAGCCTATGTCCCGTGTTTCTAACCAGACCCCGCCAACTCCATGAAGTCAGCGTCCATTCCTACTCTGTGGTGCTCCCTCCACCCCATCAGGGTCTCAAGGGTCTAGAGTCTTTCTTTTTTTTCTTTCACGTCAGATGGGTAATGTGCTGATGTCACAACAAGGTTTGAGGGAGGCACATTTCACACATGTGCACAAACACCCAGTCATCACGCTTATGAACTACCAAAGAATCTAGAGTCTTTCAACGAGAAACAACTTCTGAGATTTGAGGAGCTAGAGACAAAAAGTTCTGTGGTAAAGAACCAGGGAAGCTTCTGTGTGGGAGGCCCGCGGGGTCACAGGTCTGTCACCTGATGATGAGTCTGTCCAGCTGGGGTGACAGTAACTGGCTCTGGCTCTCCTGCTGCCTCTCCTACACCACAGCCTGTGCCAGACATTGCAAATCAATCACAGGCTCTGTCCTGCTGAACCTCGGGGTTCAACCCTGCTTCAGGCAGCCAGGACAATTTGGTCAATGTTAGCACTAGACATAAACATCATTAACCATTCACTAAGCTCAGAGAGCCCCAAACGGCTGGGCCGTAGTCACTGTGGGGCAAGAGAAAGGGCTAAAAAGAGCAATCACTTCAGATCTGCCAGGTGAGTTGATTGTACATAAAAGGGCAATCACATCCCGGATGCCAGCTCTTGGTGGGCCATTGCAGAGGACAAACGCCCAGCCTACATTTATGCACAGAGATTTTGTCCCAAACTTAATGGTCAGAGATATCCAAAGGCATCCCCTCAGGAACCCCAGAAACCCCTCTGATGGAGGAGGGCACCTGAGGGTGTTGGTTTCCCATGAAATGCCCCCGCCACCATTCCCTTAGGGCCCAGCAGCTTGTGCCTTTAGGTCGCTCTTTGTCTTCCTAAAAAGGAGCCTGCAGGGTGCCTGCCTCTTTTCTCCAACAAAGGGCTTACATGTAATTAAAAGGATTATGCTTTGAAGGGGAAAAGTAGCCTTTAATCACCAGGAGAAGGACACAGCAGCCTGAACCCGAGGCGCTCTGAGCGCCGGCCCTGAGTCCTGGTCCTCCTGTGGTCCCCAGCATGGGCTTCGCGAGGCAGATACAGCTTTTGCTCTGGAAGAACTGGACCCTGCGGAAAAGGCAAAAGGTAACAGTTACCATCCGTGGTTTCAAAGTGAGGCGTGATGCAAATCAACAGCGTGAAAGCGTAGGCTGGGGCGGGGTGGGGGCCGGCAGGGAGGAGTCAGGGCTTGCTGCCATTCAGCCCCGAGTGGTGTTGAACCGCCTGTGAGCCTCTGACGAGTGCCCTTTGCAGGAGGACGTGCTTCTCTGTCCTTGGTCACAGGAAAATCTTCTGCCCACCCCGCATATGAAGCCATTGCCTGCCCATCCCTCCCCCCATCTCTGGTCTTAAACCTGCCAGCCCAGCCCACAATGCTCTTGAGCACCCCACATGGGGCGGTGGGAGGAACCCCAATCCCCAAAGAGCAGGCTCAGAGGAAACAAGAATGCCCAACCACTCTCAAGTAGGCTCCCAGCTCAGGGATAGCTTATTTCATTGCGTCTATAAGGCACATTGTTTTTTCATGTTTTGACATTTCTGAAATTGGGATACAGCTCACGACCAAGTCACAGTTTATCTGGACACATTTCTTTCTTTCTCAGTGGTGCAGAAAAATAACAGTGCATCTTACAGTTGATTGTGTCCTAGATTCAATGAGATGCAATACATTATTAACCCCACAGACATTTTCTGAGCCCTTTCAGTGAGCAGAAGCGGGGCTGGGTTAGGCTAGCGACCTGAAGCGTAAGACACAGAGTCTACCTTGGACTGGCTTCTATGCAGGCTGGGAAAATCCGAAGTATGCTTGAGACTAAGAGCAATATAAAGTAGCACAGGCCACATATTCCATGAGAATGCAGGCAAGAGCCACAGGAGATCAGAGAACCCCAAGGGTGTACATGCAAATGTCAACTGACCTCTGCACCTTATTTCTGGGAAGGGGTAAGGCGTGAATATATAACTATAAAGAAATAATGCACTTTGTTGCAGCCTTGCAGCATCGTGCAAAGGCCAACTGACTCAAGGAACTGTGAAGAGAGGGAAGGGAGGGGTGAGGGATGAGGACTGGGTAAGGCTGGGATTAGAAAGATGGGAGCAGCAAGCCACAGGGGAGCTGGGGAGGGGACAGGGAGGGACACCCACCAGGGGGAAGAAGAGATGTATTTGTTCCAAACTTTGATTCAGAATGGGTTTATGTAGCTGAGCCAGGGTTGTCCTGAGCATGGGAAGGAATATTAGGGAAGAAATGGGGCCAAGAGGTGGAACATCTGAAGACCTTCGAGTGAGGGTCTCGGCAGAGAGGATCTGTATGAAAAAGTGTTAGCTAAGTACGAAGCCGGTAAGTGGGAGGGTGAAAGAGAACTCTGAGGTATCACGGGGCTAGCAACTGCAGGACGCAGCTACCCGCTAGGGCTGAGGGAACCAAGGGAGGGAAGAGGAATTATTAAGGCTTGGGAACATAGATGGGAGGTCTGTGGAGCTGAAATTAGGACTCATGAGCAGGGGGGTGCCACAAGTTGGCTGCTGGGCCTCTGAGCCTGGTCTCAGGCCCAGACATGAAGTGGGAGCCCTGGGTGGCCGGCAGGCGTGGGGCTGAGGAATGACAGCTCTATGACCAGCACAAAAGCAAACAGCAAGGAACATGACCCAGCCGTGCACACGGGTGGGCCAAAGCCCATGTGAGGCTGGAACAGGGTACAGGGGGACTGGAGAGGGAAGCCAAGTCAGAGCTGGCTTGTCTGGGAACACCACTGTCCTCTGGCTGCTTTCCTCTTTCGAAGCTGGTGTCATTTCCACAGTAGCATTCAGTTATTTGTTGCCCGCAGGAGCCAAGAGCTAACAGGAATCAGAGACTCAGCCCCTTTCTGCCAGGAGCTTCCCTTCTTGTGTGAAAATACTGACAAAACTTGAACAAGACTCATTATTACATTTACTCATGCATTCATTTGTTCCCTCAATCCACAAATACTTAATAATTTCCAGACACTGCACCAGGCTCTTGGGTATACAATGGCAAATAAGACATTCCTCACAGTTCCTGCCTACATGATACGTGTAGTCCATGGATGGCCAAGGAAAATCCAATAGGCCCTTGTTCTCTCTCTCTGTCTCCCATTCACTTTTCCTCCCTCCCCCATAAGAAATTAAGATTCTCAGTTCATTTTCCTCTTGGTGTGCTCTTTGTGGTCCTCAAAAAATATACCTGAGGACTGTCACCGGTGGCCTGAAATGATTCCACTCCTGTGGCAAGCATGTAGCTGTTACAGAGAATAACTCTGTTTTCAAAGACAGGTTTGGTTCATGTGCCCTCACAGTCTGCTACCTTCCCTGGTGTTGGTGGCTGTCCCCTTGCTCAGGGGCTCTGCCCTCCCCCCAGGGGGATGGAACATCAGGCTGAGGACCTTGGCTGGTGCATCTCCCAGGGCCGGGCATGGTCTGGGCCAGGGCTCACCAGATGCCGTCCTGATGGCCTGGAAATTGAGGTCTCTGTCTGGTGTGCCCCAGACGGCTGTCCCACTGCTACCACAGCCTGGGAGCTTCCAGAATGTCTGGGTAAGATGGAGGCATCCCCCATAATCCCTCAGGAGCTCTGAGAGGGATCTGTGGCTCCTTTCTAAGCTTTTGGTTCTTCTGGAAACTTCTGCCTCTAGAAAATTGTACTTCTAAGAAAAGTACAACTCACCAAGCCCATAGCTCAGCTCCGAGGTTTTTAATTCCTCAAACATCCACAGTTTGGGGTGTTTACTCCTGTGAGTGGAGCAAGAATAAAGACAGATACCAAATTTCCTCATTTCTTCTCTCCAATCCTTAAGGGCATAAGGGAAAATCTTCAGATCTCTGCAATCCTCCCTCCTTTTTTTCTTCCTCTGTTAACATTTGTCAAGTATTACTAAGTGCCTGGCACAGTGCTAAGTGTATTACTTCATTTAACCCTCCCAGTGACTCCGTGAGAGAGACCTCTATTATCCCCAAGGCACTGATGAGGTAATGGAGGCTCCAGAGAAGGGTTAGTGACTGGTGGGGTTGGACCTGGGATTCAAACCCATGCCGTGTGACTCCAGGACAGGCAGACGTGGCCTGTATACCACACTGCCCCCAGGGATCAAGCCCCATCTAAGAGGCTGGTCATTATGTTACCAGGATGGAGTGACCATATAACTTACCATCCAAACCAGGGCAGTTTTGAAAGTGAAAGGGAGCACCATTGATAATTGCACCAGGACAATAAATGTAAACTCCCGGGCCTGGCGAACTGGGATATGTGTTTGCCCTCTATCGGGTGAGCTGGGCACAGCCACTGCCCTCCTGGAATTCAGAGCCAGGTGGCAGCATGATGTGCACGACACGGAGTAGAAGAAAGCACGGCGTGGAGCCGAGGATGAGCTTGGGAGCTCAGAGGGGACACGGGTTGGCGAGGGTGAGAGAAGACTTCCCAGGAAGTCTGTCCCCACCCCTGCGTTCCCAATGACGAGTGCTCCCCGACTGCTGGAGACAAATACACAGCCGCCCCTACTGGCTGTGGACCAGGCGCTGTGTTGGGGTGGGTGTATGAAGGTCACAAGGCAGGTCCTTTGTCCCTGAGAGCTCACTGTGTAGGGCCCCTCGGTGTCATCTTCTAGGACAGCATATGTGACGGAAGCCTGAGGACTCCTGAGAGCAGGGGACTCATCATTTCCTGCCCTCCGGACCTGGGCACCTGAGACAGCTGTGGCCTTTGTCCTGGGCCTAGCCCTGGGTGAGAGGACGTGGCCGGTGCAGGGCGGTGGGGCAGCCGGCTCCAAGTGCACCCAGGTTCCAGGTCACACTTGTCCAGGCTAAGAATCCTGTCTGGTTCTCAGTGCGGAAGGCAGAATTACGTGGCTCCTTTCAAGCCATGGCTACCCTCTTTAAAATCGAAAACACGGAGGGAGGGAAAACAATCTAACTGGCTAAGTTCTAAAACAACAAGCACAACTCTGCCCTCGCCAGAAACCCCTCCTCCCCATGCAGATTGAGTGGTAAAGAGCAGAGAAGAAAGAAAAAGAGAAAGACTGAGAGAGAGAGAGAGAGAGAGAGAGAGAGAGAGGAAATACCAGTTTGGGGAAAAAAATTTTTCCACCAGCCTCTTCTGAGCCTTGGCTGGGTTTAATTAAAGTTACAGACATGTTTAAAGGGAAGGGGTGGGGGAGTCCGAGCTGCCCAGAAACATGTCTTTAATTACGCTGTGGAATTTCTCCCTAGGGTATGCCCCCGCACAGTTGAGCACCAAGGACAAGGATGCGGCTCTGGCATGGGGGCTGAGCATGACTCAGGAGGGGCCGGAGAAGGGGCTGCCGTGAGGCCAGACCTGTCAGGCTGCTGGTCTCTGTGCAGGGAGTGAAGTGGGAAATGCAGCACCCCCAAAACACATGCTCACAGAGTTAGAACAGTAACACTGATCTCTCAACAAATGTTTTTCAAAGATTACCAACCACTACCTAGACCAGCGGTTCTCAGCCTTGGCTGCACATTGGAAGTATTCGAAAAGTGTTCTTTAAAAAATCCTGATGTCTCATGCCCAGAGATTCTGATGTCCCTGACCTGGGACATGTCCTGAGACCCCCACGTGGTCCCAGCACGCAGCCACAGGAAGTGCTGAGCTAGGGCAGTGGAGGGCAGGGATGATGGGCAGAAAACAGCAGCCCTAATTCAGAGTTGTGACGAGGAATACAGGCAAAGTGGTATCAGTCCTAGGGCCAGGCACAGAAGGAAGGAAGCAGATGCTGATCCTGCTGCCCACTGATGGGAGGACTTTAAGTTGCAATGCTTTGCAGAGAGCAGGTACTTTAAAAATATAAGAATGAGTGAGAGAGTGAGTGGATGAGAGAGTGTGTCACTGGCATTCAGGGAGGGATGAGATGCGCTAGCTTGGGCTTAGAAATTTTATTCAGGGGACAGGTAGGCAAGGCTGGCGGATCCCTTCCTGGTATGCTGCTCTTTATGTACAGAGCAGGGGACAGTGCGTGGCTTGTTTTTCAGGAAGCTCCATATTTCCAAACTGGCAACTGAGCCATTCTGAATCCAGAAAGGGAGGAGACATGCCTGCGGGAGGAGGGCAGGCCTGAGAGCTCGAAGATAATTTTAATGCTATTTCCTGGCTCTTCTGCCATTACAACGTGCAGTGTCACCTACACTGACAGACTACACATCACTACACTACACTGCACATCATCTACAGTGTCGCTGTGACCCCTGTGACAGTCCTGCGAGGCAGTAATAAGTGGCTGTGTTTACTGAGTGTTATTTTGTGCCAGATGCTGGTCCATGTTCGACCATTCTCCAGCTGCTCTGGGAGGTAGGTCCTGGTATCGCCCCCGTTTTACAAATGAGACCCTTTGGTACGGAGGGGATGAATGGTCATATTGCTAAGACGGAGCAGGCTGGATAGGAGCCCCAGTACCTGGTCCCAGAGTGACGTGCTCTTAACCCTCGGTGTACACCACAGGAAAAAGTAGCAGTCCCATTTCATAGATGAGAAAACTGAGACTCGGGGGTTGAGCAAACCCAAAAGGGGTTTTTAACCCAGATCTTCCCACCTCTCTCAAATCAGCATCAATGTTTAGCACACCAGCCTGCTCCCAGATTGGCGTTGCTCCATGGAAGGCGGCCGATGTACTTGGTAGAAAGCCAACACTGCAAGCAGTTGTCTCAAGGAGGAGTCAGATGTGTGGAATCTGGACTGGTTGTCTCATTTCCCTCATGAAGACACCAGGAACAACTTCTGGTTTCATCACTTGCACATACCTGCCAAACTTGCTCCCAGAACTTACCCACTGACAGGAGGATCCTACGTAAAGGCAGAAGCCAGCATACATGCCTCTGGGGTGTGCTGTTTGTCAAATCTGTGGACTGTTGGTGACCCAAGCCCCTGTGTCACCTCCAGCTTTCCCGGTGAGGCCTCCTAGACCAGTCTTGACAAAGGCTCCTTCATTTCACAGATATTTATTGAGCACCTATTATGAGTCCCACCCCATATGGGGTGTCAGAATCACAGAAGTGATGAGGACAGATGTGGTCACTGATCTCAGGAAGCTTCCAGCCCATGAGAGCTCCACTTCCTTGCAGGAGTAATCACCCCGAAGTGTGAGGAGTGATAAGAAAGGGCAGTCTCAGAAGCCGGAGGAGAGTTGCTTGTGGTCAGGGGCCAGGATGCTAGCAGTGAGATGGGGGCCGGCTGGGGCAGAGGCCCAGCTTGGCCAATTGATCTGAATGCCCTGGTGGGAGCTGCCAACAGTCCGATTCTAGCAAGTGTGCTTGGGGTCAGTCCCCTCAACACCAGGTGGGGATTGCCCGATATTGTTTTGCCATCTTGTGGGAGAAAGTTTAGCAGGAGCCCTGAATAATGAGTGTCTTAAGGAAAATCTACTATTCTTTCTTCTTCCCGTGTGTGTGTGTGTGTGTGTGTGTGTGTGTGTGTGTGTGTGTGTGCCTCCTCTAACACATCCTCCCTATACATATTTTGAGTAAAACATTTTATAAAAAGTTATAACTGCATAATCACCATCTGCCCCTAGACAGTTTTTGCTTTTTCTTCATGATTATTTTTCCTACCAATTTATTTTCTAATTTATTGTAATTTAGTTGCCAGCAGACCATTTTTTAAAAAGCGGAACATGGTTTGTTCCTGCTAGCATGAAAGGAACAAACATTTTTTGAGCACCTGCTAGGGGGTCCCCCACTTTGCTAGGATCCTATTTACATTTATTTGAGAGGAAAACAACAAAGGGTTAAATTAAAGGCCATGTGAATAGCCCCTCACTGATCTATATGCATTTAAGTGTCTATTCCTGGCCAACTGCTTTAAGATCTCCTTTAGCCCTTATGAGTTTCCTTCCTAAGGTTTCTGGAGCAGAGGGTGGGTAGAAGAACCCTTACAGTCCCCAATTCACACTTCCCCTCCCCCTTTCCTTCCACAATGGCACACCTCCAGCCTCCACACTGTGTGCAACGCCACAGCGTAGGGGCTGCAACAGTCAACTGGCTCTTCTTCTTTTGGGGTCAAGGGTCCTTAAGCTCTACACTGAACCTAAATTTAAATATAGACTTTGAACCATATGTTGATATCAGTAGCTTCTTCCAGTGTAAAAACCCACGGCAGTATGCCTTGCTTTGTTTCTTTAAGCAACAGACATCGTTGAAGGAAAATGTCGGTAAATCAGATTTTCGTTAACTTTGCTATGGATCATAGTACTTCACAGTCATTTGTTCATTCATTCATTCATTCAATGACCACATTTGCAAGGTCTACGTTGTGCTAGAAGGCAAGGTAGCAGGGCAGGCAGAGAGGGCACTGGCCCTTTCTCATCTGCAGAGGCAGAGGTTACAGCAAGTTCGTCACTAGTGCAGCATCAGTGTTACCTGGGAGCTTGTGAGAAATGCAGCCCTGGTCGGGCCCCAATGAGTCAGAATCTGCACTCATGAGCACAGCGACATTTAAAGTGCCCCGAAGCCCATGATCTTGAGGCTACTTATGAAAGTCTTGTGCTGATGCAGTTTTCTAAAACAGAGGCAGAGTAGAGCCCAGATGGATACAAAATGTGGTTGGTATAGTAAATCAGGTAGAGGCAGTGTAGCAGGGGGAATAAAGAAGGAAGCTCTTTAGGTAAGTATACCAGAGCCAAAGTCCTACTGCATAGACAGGTGCGAGGGGAAGTATGTCTGCTCTGGTGGTTTCCTGTACTCTTAGCACCACCGGCCTTCTCTCTTTTTGTTTTGTTTTTCCAGATTCGCTTCGTGGTGGAACTCGTGTGGCCTTTATCTTTGTTTCTGGTCTTGATCTGGTTAAGGAATGCCAACCCACTCTACAGCCAGCATGAATGTAAGCATGACAGGGCCTGGGCCCCAAAGAGTCACCAGTCTGGTCCCTTTGTCTAGAAAGGTCTTAGGGTTGGGGGTGCAGGGATTGGATCTGCTTATCATCATTCCATGTCCACATGCACAAAACAGATCCATCAGCGTTTCACAAATTTTTGATCCTACGCATTCTAAGCAAATACGTACGTGTGGTTACTTAAGGATTGTGTACTTTTTTTGTTTGTTTTGTTTTTGTTGGTTTATTTTTTTTTTCATATCTAAACTCTCATTTGTTTTAAAGAGAACAGATTATAAGATTATAGACGAGTTCTCTAAAATATTTCAGAGACCAATTTAGGGGATTTGTTATCCACGGTGCTAGAGAAAAATGAGGAGAAGGGGTTCTATACTACTATAATTAATAAAACATTATTTCTTGGACCTCTGAGGTGTCCGAGAACCTAGGATGAACCTAGGATGAAAGACTCTTTTATGCTCAACCTTTATGCTCTACCGTCTGGGAGCGCTTTCCTCTGGTTTCTGGCCGAATGACATTTCCCTCTGGGAAGCTGATATGGAAGCCTCCACAGTTGTGCAAAGTTGCTCAGTCTTCCTTCACCCCCTGGTTCATGAGTGGCAGGCCTCAAGCTCTGAATCTACCTCCTGTCCATCACACTCTTGCTTCTCACCCCCAGGAGCCCATAACCTGTAGTCTGCAGCTTGGCTGAGGGTGGGTGCTCATGCTGAGTACACACTGCTGACTGTAGGATGGATGGATGAACCTCATCTCCAGTGTCAGCAGCTCGTGGAGCCTTCTTGAGCTAACGCCCCGGCCCCTCTCACCACAAAATGATTTGTCCCCAATTCCTTCCCCTTCCGCACTTCCGTCCATGTCTCTGCTAGAACATTTGTCTGTCTTCCCACTACACCAGAAGCTTGAGAGAGGAGGCCTTGTCTCCAGCACCCAGCACAGGGCCTGGCGTGCATGAGATGCCCCTGCTTCTTACATGTCGGTGAACGAAGGAGAGCACCAGGGCTCCTTCCCAAAGAGGCCCCGGCTCCTAGGGCTGCGTCCAGCTTGGCCTCCAAGACTAACTTCTTGTCTTCATTTCCTGTTTTAAAGGCCATTTTCCCAACAAGGCCATGCCCTCAGCAGGAATGCTGCCATGGCTCCAGGGGATTTTCTGCAATGTGAACAATCCTTGTTTTCGAAGCGCCACCCCGGGAGAATCTCCTGGAATCGTGTCAAACTATAATAACTCCATGTAAGTGTTGAGCTACCCACCATGCCAGGGAGGAACTTGCACACCCTTCATTCTTGCCCTGCACGAAGTGCATGCAGCCCTGGAAGTGTTTTCGTGGCTTGCTGAGGCCCTAATCTCTGAGGAGCAGAGCAGGCTTCCTCTCTGGAGCATTCTATTAATATCAGGACACTTGGGGAGAAAGCTCCAAACTAAGACCACATGAACACAATTTTTGGTCCTTATATCCCTAAGATGTGACCTGGAGTTTGATGGCAGCCCCCTACTGAGCTGTGTCCACTGCCTCCGAGATGGATGACTAGGGTGGAGTTAGAAACACTCAGTTGCCCTCACCCCATCAATCCCGACAGATAAACAGATCACTGTCCTTCGAAAGCTTTCTTGGACATCTAAGGGCTAAGAAAAATTTCAAGGAGCATTGAAAGGGTAAATGAAATCAGATTTACAAGATGAAGCTCACTTCCTGGGAGAAAAAGACAAATTCCACATCCTTTGTTGTGACTGCCGTCTGCACCCTTGCATGGTGAGGGGTCTTGGGACGTGGCTCAAGAGCAGTGATTCTTAACCCGTGGGGCTGGCGAGCATTCTGAGAGCTGATGAAAACCGATGGCCGCTCTCCAAAGAAAAATGGACACACACACACACAAAACAGTACGTTGTACATGTGATTTCAGGGAACTGGAACTTGTGGACTCCAGGTTAATAACCTCTGGCCTGGGGTGGAATTTTAAGTCAGATCCCATAGGAAGAGAGTCTACCTTTGGAATTCCCTTTCAGAGCATTGGGTATATATGGTGTGAGCATGTCCTACAGACAGAGGCTCATGGATGTGCACAGGGCTGTCCTTACCTGCTCTGCAGACCTTGAGTCACACTTTGTGAAGGTTATACCTAAAGGTCACAACGAGGGATTGTTGGGGACCAAGCTTTACCCTACTTGTGTAAATACCAGGTCAGGGGGAAACTGAGATATATGGTTACTTCAGTTTTTTCCTTAGAGGAGCTCAGCATAATTCCTCCAGGACAAACCTGCATTTAGACTTAGAAAAAAAAAAGAATATTCGATAGATCAGCCTGAGCTTGGAGGTGGCCCTTTCCACTGGGAACAAACTATGGCTGCTTGTGTCCCATAATGGCAGGGCTGAATAGTTGTGACAGAGACAGTATGGTGTGCAAGCCTACAATATTTAACTGCTGACTCCTGGATTATGGGAAGAGAGGACAAGGAACACCTTTCTTCCCAGAAAAGTGAGGGAGGTGACATTTTAGCTGGACTCACAGTGCTGCAAACCCTGCCTTGAAGTTTTAGTTAACAGACTTCAGTTTCACTTGAGACACGCTGAGGTTCCTGAAAAGAAATGCCTGCCCATCCAAAGACCCACGGGGTCCCATGGTGGGATCAGGGAGGCTGCAGGGGCTCCGGTGGGACTGGACCTGGCAGTGTTTATAGATGCTACTGGGTAAGCCGGAGGGTGGGAGCTGGGGAAGGGGGCTCCAGACTGCAGCTGCACTTGGCATCTGAACCTAGAAAGCTGGGTTTCACATTTCATACACACATTATGGGGGAAATATTAGCTTATTCAAGGTTCTTCTGCTTGCAAGGTGCAGAAACTCATTCAAACAAGCTCAAGCCCCAGAAGGAAATGTATGATTTAGATACTAGACCTTCTCATAATAGCCAAGGGCAGCAAGGCAGGGCTCAGGAGAGGCAGGCCAGGAACTGGAGAGCTGTCAGGAGCTGCCTCCTCTGCTCTCTTCCGTCTGGAACTGCAAGGTCCAGCCTCTCTGCCTCTCGGTTCATCCACTCTGGTCACCTCTCTCCATGGACCAGTCTCCCCTGTTCCTCAATGCCCAGGCTGCTGCTGGTCACCCAGTCCGCAGCACCCCAGCCTGGGCAATCAGAAGAGCACCCTGAATACTGTTCCAATTCCTAGGAACCAATCCGGTTGGCCCAGCTTCATTCTCCCTGTCCAATCGGCCTTGGCAGAGGTGCATGCATGCACATGTGTGCATGTGTGTGTGTGGGGAGGACCTTGCGGATCAAGCATGGCTGTCAGAGCCTGCCCCTTTGAGTGAGTGGAAGGGCAGGTCTCAGAGAAGTGGTGAAGGCTGGGAAGACCCTCCTGTAATATGTACCAATATCATCCTGTTTAAGGCTTCTCTGGACAAGAGACATACAGAGCATGGGTCTGAGAGGTGATCTGGCCCTGCCAAAACTGCAAGCCTGAACCAATCGCTCACAACTCCTGTCTGTTGGCCTATATGTATGAGGAAGTAAAAATATCTCTTTCTCTTTCTGCCTTGGCAGTATTGTAAAGATACATAATGTAGTAGTTAGGTCAAGCACATGGTATCTTAAAAAAATAACACAAGGTGTTATTATTATTATAAAAAAGACAGATTTTTTTTATTGATGAAATATATTTGTCCTTCTTCCAGCTTAGCAAGGGTGTATAGAGATTTTCGAGAACTCCTCATGGATGCACCAGAGAGCCAGCACCTTGGCCACGTTTGGACAGAGCTCCAAACCTTGTCCCGATTCATGGACACCCTCCGGACCCACCCTGAGAGAATTGCAGGTAAGCTGGGCTTCAGTGCTTTCCACCATCACATGCCTTGCTCAGCGGAAAGACTGAAGATACAGTAAAGAGTGGGAAGGTTTGGTGAAAAAAATACTAAAGGAGGCAGGAAGGGACAGGCTCTAGAGGCGGCATGAAGATCGCCTTGGAGAAGATGCCTCTTCTGCCACTCCAGGAAGGGAGAAGGCAGGAAGTCGGGAAGGAGGGCAGGAAAGGTCTCATCCCAGGTAAGTCTAGAGGCAGAAAGAAGAACACAAGGGAGATGGCACCCTGGAGAGTATGCAGCTAGGTCAATGCCCAGAAGCAGGGGGAGAGGGGTTTGCAGAGTTTGGCAGAGGTGTGCAACAGTTTCATGGAGGCCTAGAGAGACAGCTAACCTGGAACATGTAGAGGCAATGCTACGTATCAGCAAGGAGCCGGGGGAGTCAGAGACGGTACGTTATCTTGACATACAGATGTGTCATTGTACTATTTCTCCCGGTAATATTTAGCACCCAGGCCCTGAGGCGGAGCAGGTGGAGAAGGGGAGATGCAGGGCTGGGGTGTGGAGGGAGGCACCACACAAGGTCAAGTGGGCACGAAGCTGAGGGCAGTGACTGGACCGTATGTGTCAGGTCCAGGCTGCGTGAAGACTGACAAGAAGCCAGAGGGACTGAGACTGGCCAGGGGAATGGAGAGTCCAGGCAGCAGAGGTCTCATGGGCTCCATGGCCCTGTGAAAGTAACCGAGGTCACAAAGTGAAATACATGAATTCAGGATTTTGAAGGCAGGCAGGAAGGGTGGGAACAGGCCCCTGAGTGTGGCCATGGTGAAGTGGTACGAGGGTCAGGGTCAGGGTCGAGTGAGGGGGAGGTGCAGGAATGAGGGGCTGGGCTGCTGGCACCCACTTGGACACTGCGGTCATGCAGGAAGATGGCAAGAGCCAGGCACCTGGGTAGAGAGCAGCGAGGAGAAGGGATAGGGGAGTTTGTCTCTCCTCCCCAGGGGCAAGTCAAGGAACACACAAAAACCAGCAGCGGTAACAACACCAACATGTCTCTTTAAAAGTCTAAGTGGATGTTGTGCGGTGTCACATCTGTTGTAGGCTCTTTTGAGGATGGCTAGAGGGACAGGACATGGCAGCTGGAACCCCTTCCCGAGAGGGGCATAAATGAGCGGCTGAGAGGAGTTGAAGACTCCAGGAATCCAGGGATTACTGCAGCCTGGTGGGTGGAGAGAGCCCTCCAGGAAAAGGCTGCTAGGAGAGGAAAGATTGCTCAAGGGACAGGGCTCAGAGGCTGGAAGACAGCAGTTTGGAGCTTCTGGAGACACGCGCTCCCAGGATGGGGTGAGAGGTGACTCTAAGGATGACCTTGGAGGTTGACAGGGATGAGGAAGGGGATGGGAGGGGCTGGACAGAACAGCTTCTGCTCTGAGTGCCAAACGACACAGGTGGGAGAATGGTCTAAATCAGTCCCCGGGGCTCATCCCCCACGTGGTGCAGATTCTTCAACATACAGCAGACATTAGGCGCCTCCTGTGAGCCAGGCACGGGGCTCCTCTCCGGGGGCGGAGAGATGAGTCAGGCCCAGTGCCCGCCCGTAGAGGGCTCACACAGCAGAATTGGAAAGAGACAAGTGAGCAGACAATGACCACAGCGTGTGGGGGTGCCCGGTGGAGGGAAGTGGGGGGCCTTCAAGGGCCCAGGGGAGTCAGCAGGAGAAACTGCTCCAAAGAGAATTGGCTTCTCCTCCCATCTGGCCCCCTTCTGCCTTCTCTCCCCATGAGAGCAAGAAAAGACAGGAGTATGTTCAGATTGGTGCGTTAAGATTGTTTAATTACATTCTAATTGTTCCCAAAATAGTAAAGCATAGACTTTATGTGGTTATTTTCCACAAACCACATTACAAACACTACATTCTTTGCTGCTCTGGGTAGGAGTTTATTTTTAGTGAGCGCAAGTTTGAAGAACCTTATAAGGTATGAGTACAATTAGCATTTTAATAGTAAGAAACTACCCCCTCCCCTCCCCCCCATCACCAACCAGGTATTTTTTCCCAGGTTTAAACAAGCAGATGAGGACATGGGCTGTCCAACTCTTGGCCTGACTATGCAGCTCCTGCGTCCAGTGGGGTCTATGATGAGGCAGACATTTCATTTAAGTGTCTGATCATCACTTGAGCCTGGAAGGAAGCGTAAAGGAAGTAATTTCAAACCACAGTGTCTCTGTGGTTTTTACAATGTGTATGTAAGAACCAAAATCACTACTTCTTAACCCCAAAGCAGGCCTGATTTTGAATTGACATTCGAGCGGGCCCTTCTGCAGGCCTTGGGCCGTGGGTGGAATTTCCTAACCGAAGTAGGTCCAGGGTAAGGGCTCAGGAAGGCTGGCCAAGCCTCCCCAAAGGCTGGGAATAGAGGCTCCAGAATCCCTGACCTTAGTGGCTGTGAGAGGGGACAGGGGTCCATCCCCAAGTAAGGGACATGGTCTCTGAAGGAATTCCAGGCCAGGGACTGAAGCCCACTGTTGGGACCACAAACCGTTTCAGAGTCTTTCCAAGAGTCATCTGGGGACGTTGCTCCCTGTGAACGTGGCATCCTCAGCCCAAAGCCAAGCCTTTGAAAGCAAAGTGGGCGTGTGAAGCTGGGGTGTGCTTTTGCCTGTGAGTTCCCAGACACCTGGGAAAGTATGCCAGTGGCTGACCCCCGGCAGCATTTTCCTTTCTTTGCAAACCTGCAGTACTGCATTCTCAGCATGGGAGGATTAACGGTAAAAGACCAGACAAGGAGCCCCCTCCCTTCTCACCCCCAAGCAAGTGCTGTGGTCTCTCAATCATCTTTAAAACACCTTCTTCGTGTGAGCCCCGCACATTGCCTCCCGCCAGCCCTCAGCAGCCCCCACCCCTAGCCTCTGATCCTCCCAGGGAAGAGAACAAGAAGAACCACATTTTAAACTAAATTTATTTTTCTTTCCTCAGGCCCTCAGTTCCAATTTCTCCCGCAGGAGACTAGCAAAGCTCCGTCTGGTATCCGGTATCGGCCACCTCTTGAGCAGGGGCCCAGCTCTCCCCGCAGGGTGGCCCCAGCCCTCCCCGGGGTGAGCCAGGAAGCTCCTCCCCTGCACCACCGCCCGGTCACCTGGGTGGTCTGTTGTGCAATGCCTGGCAAAATCCAGCCCGGTTTCCCTTGTTTAGCCCCTTTCCCGGCAAGATATTTGTATGTCAGGTCAGGTGAGTGAGTTAAAGAATAACTAAGAGGTAAACAGTCAAATGGGGTCCTGACTTTCAGGTCAAGACAACAGTATTTACTGAGCGCCTCTTGACATTCAGCAGACATTTATTGAGACCCTGATTCCATGTCAGGCTCTATTGCTGGGTGTCAGAGAGAGGTGACCTCAAGACCTTTCATCTGTGTGCCCAGCACTGCCAGGTGCAATGAACTGTGTAATAAAAGCCGTGTCCATAGCCCCCGACTCTCAAGAGGCCTTGGTGTGCGTGCGTGCGTACGTGCGTGCGTGGGTACGTGCATGCGAGCCTACGCGCGTGCGTGCGGGGGTGTGCGTGTGCGTGCTGGGGATGGTGTTGCTGGAATGCGAGCACTCGGGCTGGCAGACGGGAGTGACTGGGAGAACAGGAATTGAGCTGCGCCTCCGGGGAAGGAGGAAAAGCGGGGGGAGCTGGGTTTGAAGGTAGCAGGATTTATGTCATGGAAACGGAGGGGAGACAAGAATAAAAGAGAGCAGCCCCTCCTAGAGGCCTCCTCCTCCCTTCGGTCGCTGTGTTCAGGTCCTCCCAAAACACCTGGACTTTTCCTGTGCAAAGGGGAGTGATGGCGGCTACCTGTTGGCACAGCTCCCAGGAGCACCCACCAGGGCAAGAGAGGCCACCATGTGTGGGCCCCCAGGCCTGGTTGCCCCTGCCCCAGCTCTGTGGACAGGCCTGAGGTGCTGACCCAAGATCTTTCTAGAGGAAATTATCAGCAATGTCAATCTGGACAAGGCGCTGTACAGGGGAAGTCAAAACCTGCAAATAGAAAGGATGGCTGTCAGGCCCTCAGGGGGCAGGCTTCTTGGGGAGGGGAGAATTTGGAGAGGGAGAGAATGGGATGCTGTGGAGTTGGGAGCAGGAAGCAATGGGGTGTGTGATGATTAGAGCTAGTCAGAGAAGAACTAGGAGGTAAGCAGTCAACCAGGCCCCTGGAGACCTTGAGGTTCAGAGATCAGAGTTTTCATGCAACCCGATGCTATCCCTTCATGTTGAAATGGCTTCGCAGAAATCTGGGCCTGTCGGGCTCTTCTCTGCCCAGTGCCCCATGACCTGCAGCAGTGGCTGGCTTGAGGCTGAGCGCTGGCCCTGGGGGAAGCAGGCAGAGGAGGCAGGTGCTGGTGTGAATCGCCTGGGAGGGGTAAGCATAATATTAGTATGTCAGAACAAGCATTTATGGAGTACTCACCATCTTCAGGTCTGGGAACTAAGCACATTGCTTACCCCATGTCGCTTCTACAACAATCTTGTGAGGTAGACGCAGAAAGTGCAGACATAAGGAGAGGCTCAATCACCTGCCAAAAGATCGCCTTAACTGTTAGCAGTCCTTTATGCCTCCTTATAAAGAAACTCCTGCTTCCCATGGTTTTGAGAGGAGCTGGAGAGCATGTGAGGGCTCACGGGGCAAGCCCTCATGATGGACCATCTCCTCTTTCCACACGAAGCTGTGTTTGTTCTCAACAACCACATCTCTCTTAGTCCGTGGCAAGAACCTGAGCATCTCAGCCTGAGCTGAGATGGCAGAAATGCTAAGAAGGGTCCTCTATCCCATGACAATGGCAGTGTAGGCAGAGCATATACCTCCTGCAGTCCTAGACCAAGGTTTAGGGGTTGGCACTATTGACATTTGGGGCCAGGTCATTTTTTTGTTTGGGGGAGAAAGAGTTGTCCCATGCATTGCAGAGTGTTTAGCAGCATCCCTGGCATCTGCCCACCAGCACCTCACCGGCTGTGACAATGAAAAATGTCTTTGGATATTGCCAAATATTCCCAGGGGGACAAAATAGCCCTGCTCCGGCTCCCCACTCCCCCTGCCTTGAGAGGCCCTCTCCTAGACCAACCCTGCAGAGCATCTGCCACCCCCACCCACCCCCAGCTCCCTTTTTCTACCTTCTGTGACTTCTCATGGAATTGTGCCCAGCTGCTTCAGCTGTAAATGCTGTGTTGGTGACAGCCTATGGGCAAGATCTTCCCTCTCCCTCTCCCCCCCCGCCGGTCCCCAGGTGCTCCCAAGGAGCCCAAGAGCTGAGCCTTCTTCTGAGAGTCAAGTTAGAAATGTTTCCAGTCACTTCTGGCTGTTTTCCCTTTTTGACCTAGCTCCCCTTCAACACCCTGTTCTTTCATTCATGTACAGGAAGAGGAATACGAATAAGGGATATCCTAAAAGATGAAGAAACACTGACACTATTTCTCATAAAAAACATCGGCCTGCCTGACTCCGTTGTCTACCTTCTGGTCAACTCCCAAGTCCGTCCAGAGCAGGTAAGTGGATGTCACTGGCGGGGAGCCTGAGAGAGGCTTTCACACTCAGAGCCCATGACTTACGCCCCGTATTTAGAAGAATACCAGGGGGTCACCTGAGACAGTGCACACTCTCATCACAGGGCTCCGAAGCCACGCACATCCTGGCAACACTTAAAGCCTCTCAGGTTTTTGTCACTGGAAGGAACCTTAGGGGTCATGTGGCTGGACCTCCTCTTACAGGTCAGGAAACCGGGCTCTATTCGTTCACTCAGCCAATATTTAAGAACAAAGCAGGCAAAGCCCCAACCCTGGGCAACAGTCACGTGAGTAGAGGATCTGCCGTGTGTCTCTGGTTGTGATAGGTGCTGGAGGACAACTCAACAGGGTCAGGACTTAGAGAGGGACGGCAGCAGCGTGGGACAGGGCAGTCCTAACGGGATGGCCAGGGAAGGCCTTCCTGAGGTGGTGTTTGAGCAGAGTTGACGGGAGAGAAGGCAGCTGTGCAAACTGACAGGAGCGTTCTGGGCTGAGAAACTGGCATCGCAGGCCCTGCGCGTGCTGAGGTGACTTTCCAAGGTTCTAGAACATGATTATGCTGCTCTCCTGGACCACTTTCTCCTCAGGGCCCGGCAAACTCCTTCTACCTGCTGGTGCTTTTCTGACCTATATGCCTCAAAGTGTTTTCCATCCCTTTTAATAATCTCTTATATTTATACAGAGCGTTTTTACCACTGACGCATGAATTTCAGGTCTGTTAGCTGCTTTATTCTTCACAGTGACCCTGAAATGGGTCAAACAGATCTGGAGACTTGGGTGTCCTGTGATGGGGTGGTTTGTGCACAGCTATATGGCTAGAAATGGTCAGAGCCAGAGTGGAGTCCAGGTCTTCTCAATCCTAATCCAGTGTTTCTTTCTTACTTTAGTTCAGTGGTTCTCAAAGTCCAGAGATGCTGCCTGGCGCCCGCAATGCCCAGGCCCTGGCGGAGGTGCAGCTCCCAGCCCGGCCCTCCAGGCTGCCCAGCGGCCCGGCCCTGCCTGCTCCCCCTCCCACACCCACCGAGGGGCCGTGTCGGCAGCACCAATGGCTCATTTTCCCCTTCGCTTTCTCTTCAGCTCATAAAACTCAAGTCCTGGCAATGCCTGTGAGGACTTCCCGTTGATAATAAAAGGGAGATGTAGATAAGGGCAGGAATTTAGGGGAAATTTCTTTTCAGTTCCTTGCTGACGTGAGGTTTGGGTCTCTACTGCTGAGCCTGTGGTGTCAGGGCTGAGACTTTTCATGTGGGAGGACAAGGGCCGGTCGCCAGACTGTGCCTTATTCACCACTGCTGGCTCTGAGCAGCCAAGGCTCCCCCACCGGTAAGCCCGAGCCCCCTGCGCCTGCCAGGAGGGTCCTGCCCGCCCAGCTCCGTCTGCGCCCCCCGGCCCACCTTGCTTCTCAGCCTTTGGCCTGTGCACTGTCCTCTCTTCTAGCCCCCGTCTCCACGCGGCTTGGGACTCCCCATCAGCGCCATCCTCAAGGACTGTTGGGGATGACGGCAGTGTTTCCTCTCCACCGTCCAAGGCCGAGGCTTGTGGCTGTGTAGCAATCGTCCTCGTTAGCCATGGAATTTTTGACCTTTACCATCAGGACTAGATTCCCCTCCTGGTCCTTTCTGCTTTGTGTCTGAGCACAGCTCTGAAGGAATTCAGTCACCCCCTTCCATCTAGGGAATTATTAGAAGATGAGAGTGGTACAGTTTTTCTGGTTTATCCCCCATCCTACCCCCAGCCCTGTAAACTCCTGGACATGCTTCAAGGCCGGTTCAAGCATTGCCTTCTTAGTGGAATCATTCACAAACCCTCCTTTCTTTGCCCTGCTCTCTCCTTCTTCCCTGTTGGCAAAGAGCTCACAGGTTGCAGTTAAGCCCTGGGTTCAAATCTCAGCAAGGCCACACACTTAACTGTGTGACCTCAGACAAGTTAATTAAGCATTCTGTGCCTGTGTTTCCTCATTTGTAAAATGGAAATAATAAAAGTGCCTACCATCCATGATGGTTGTGAGGGTTAAAAGTATTAATGTATATGAAACACTTAGAACGGTTCCTGACATATAGTGAACAATAAATGCCAACTACCTTTACTAGAGGTTCCTTTTTTTTGAGACAGAGTCTTGCTGCTCTGTCACCCAGGCTAGAGTGCCCATGGGGTCAGCTTAGCCCACAGCAACCTCAAACTCTTGGGCTCAAGTGATCCTCCTGCCTCAGCCTCCCAAGTAGCTGGGACTATAGGTATACACCACCATTTCCGGCTAATTTTTTCTATTTTTATTTTTTTTTTTGAGACAGAGTCTCACTTTGTTGCCCGGGCTAGAGTGAGTGCCGTGGCGTTAGCCTAGCTCACAGCAACCTCAAACTCCTGGGCTCAAGCGATCCTACTGCCTCAGCCTCCCGAGTAGCTGGGACTACAGGCATGCGCCACCATGCCCGGCTAATTTTTTCTATATATATTTTTAGCTGTCCAATTAATTTCTTTCTATTTTTAGTAGAGACGGGGTCTCGCTCTTGCTCAGGCTGGTCTCGAACTCCTGAGCTCAAACAATCCGCCCGCCTCGGCCTCCCAGAGTGCTAGGATTACAGCGCCTGGCCAAATTTTTTCTATTTTTAGTAGAAACAGAGTTTCACTCTTGCTCAGGCTGGTCTTGACCTCTTGAGCTCAAGCAATCCTCCCACCTTGGCCTCCCAGAGTGCTAGGATTACAGGCGGGAGCCACTGTGCCCCAGCCACTAGAGGTTCTTAACACTCCCATGTTCATTCCGGCACTTACCACTACTTCAATGCCTGCATTTCCAGCTGGCTGGCGACCTCCTCGGAGGGCAGGGAGCTTGCCTGATTCATCTTTGTGTCCCCAGTCATTGTCCTAAGACAATGCAAGTCCCTGCAGAATGGGAATTCAGTGAGTGAGTATTGAAAACACGAGTGACTGAGTGAGGGAATGAGCCAGGGGCTTCTGTGGTGTCCCAGCTTCCCCCACTAGCCACTACGTAGGTTTCTCAAGTCAGCTGGCCCCTCCTCCAACACGTCTTTCCTCTGGAATATGAGGGGCTTGGGCAAAATGGGCCAATTGATTCTCTTCACTTTAAAATGTTTTAGACTCTGGGATTAGAGATGAGGGTGGGTTTTTGCCTGGGGATAAGAAGTGAGGTATGCACGAAATGAGAAGGCTCTGTTGGGACATGCACCTGGTTACAGCTCCCTGAGATTGAAGTATCCACGTAGACCCATGGTCAGCTGTGACCTGTGCTTCGTGTAGGGCCCAGGCTTCCGTGTGTGGTCTGGACAGTTTCCATGCAGAGGGTAGAGAGGCAGGGCCTGCTCGCTCTCCAGCCCAGGCAGCTGTGTAACTGGAATCACGGGGAGACTGCGGTGCCCAGGGATCCTCGTGACTGCTTATGGTACTCATGGTACTCAGGGTCTCGTCCACTCTTGGGCATCCAGGACTCCAGGATGCCAGTTACTGTCCTAGGGTCCCTGGCCAGGGCTACTGGCCCTCCCTTGCTGCCCCAGCCTCCAGAGGCCATGGTTGGAGTGGTGCTTTAAGAGCCACTGCCCATGAGCTCCCTAAGAGCAGTAGGATGTGGGCTACCCAGGGCTTGGGGTCTCCTGATAAAATACATACAGGATGCCTAGTTACATGTGAATTTTAGATAAACGACAAATAATTTTTTAGCATAAATTTGTCCTATTTGGGACATATTTGTAAGAAAAATTATTCATTGTTATCTGAAATTCACATGTAACTGGGCATCTGGTATTTTTATTTGGAAATGTGCTGAGAAAGGAAGAGAAGGAGTTGGTCACTTGTCATCACTACAGATGCGTTTTAGCCACTCCACCTCGGCTCAGGGAGAAGGTCTTGATGGTACTTTAGCATCATGCGCTAAGAAGGGATCTCTAAAATTTTAAATGGCTCTCTGGAAAAGCGGGGCTTGGGGAGTGTATCTGTTTCCTGTTGCTGCTATAACAAATTACCACAAACTTAGCAGCTTAAAACTACACAAATTTATTGTCTTACAGTTCCAGAGGACAGAAGTCTGAAAGTCAGGTGCCAGCAGGGCTACATTACTTCCTGGGGATTGGGGGTGTGGGGGGGTGTCTAGAGGAAAATCCATTTTCCTGCCTGTACCAGTCTCTAGAGACTGTCCACACTCCTTGGCTAGTGGCCTCTGTCCAGGGCCAGCAAGGGCCTGGCAAGTCTTACTCATATTATATTACTCCAACATTGTTTCTTCTGCCTCCCTCTTCCAAATTTAAAGGGCTCTTGTGATTATATCTGGCTCACTCAAAATATCCAAAATAATCTCCTTATTTTAAAGTCAGCTCATTAGCAACCTTAATCCCGTCTGCAATCTTTATCCCCTGGGCCACGTAATAAGATGTATTCACAGGTTCTGTGGGTTAGGATGTGAACGTCTCTGTCCCTACCAGTGTTGCCCTCTCCTACCTGCAGTTTGCTCATGGAGTCCCAGACCTGGCACTGAAGGACATTGCCTGCAGCGAGGCCCTCTTGGAACGCTTCATCATCTTCAGCCAGCGACGTGGGGCACAGACAGTGTACCATGCCATGTGCCCCCTCTCCCAGGGCACCTTACAATGGGTAGAAGATGCCCTGTATGCCAACGTGGACTTCTTCAAGCTCTTCCGCGTGGTAAGAGAGGGGTTTAGCTGCTTGCTCGTTGGAAGGTGATTCCTGGGGAAGCTGGGCCTCATGAGTTGACCTTGGGGAGGGCTTGAGCCTGGTGTTCAGGACAATCTTTGACAAATCTCCTGGCTCCTGGAGCTCAAGAAATCTTGACTGATAGTATTTCTAGAACAGTGGCCTAGGGACCTGAAAATCACTATTAGGTTCACTCTGTGATTGTTGCATGTTTGTGTCCACTCCAAATGTGGGATAAGTCCTCTTCAACTCCTCTGCCAGTGTGGTGAAGAAAGGAGGCCTGGTTTGACTCCCTGCCTGCCCATTTCCTAGCTGGGTGATTGTTGGCAATATATTTAATCTTTCCTGGGCCCATTATTCCTCTATACAACAAATATAATACTTTACAGAGTGGTAGGAAAAGATACAGGAAAATACATATGCCAAGCATTTAATAAATTTCAGTAAGTGAGGGCTGAGTGCTCTTTTCTCTGGGTCTGGTCTCAACCTTGAAGATTGCTGTTTCTAGATAGAAAAAATGACAGAGAAAATTTCATAGTCTCAAAATTTGGAAAGCCCTGATCTAGCTAAACCCTCAACTCAGAAAGACTGCTTGGGACCTGATAGTGTCTCCTCCTTTGCTGGAAGGATAAGATGAGAGGTAATTATATGAGGGAGGTGAGGAGGAGAGATTCCCAAAGTGCAGAGTACATGCAGATCATCAGAGAAGTTGATAAAAGACACAGCTTCTAAATTCCTGCCCCAGGGACTCTGTCAGGCACCGGGCTGGGCCCAGGTGATTCTGATGGGGTTCACTGTAGGCTACGCTTTCAGAAACATTCAAAATTATAATCCTTCAAAGAAGGTAACATATATAGTATTTCTAGCACTGAATTGTGTTTTTTTTTTATCTACATTTTAGTTTCTGAAACTGTGTTGTAAGGAATGTCAATCACTAAGAACTTGATTGAGAAATTTGAGTTTTGCCTTTTTTAATGGATGCTCTCTGAAATCCCAGAAAACCGACTCTCAGCTTGTCTGCAAAAGCAAGCTGAAGGCTTTTAAAAATGAAACAAAATAAAGCCAGACCCCACAGTTTCTGGCAGGGTTCACACTTAATCCCTTTCAAAGTGTGACTTTCCCTTGGAAAGTTACTCTGTAATTTTCCCAGCTCATCAGAGTGGGCCTCCAACGTGGGCACGAGGCACTGGGACCTAGGGATGCCACCATCACTGAGAGCCCAGGACCCCAGAAAAGGTGTCTCAGCTCTCCATGCTGCAGAGAGAATAAAAAGCCATGTATTCCAAAGGTCTCTATCCAAAATTTCAAAAGGAACCCGATTTTAGACGCACTCCTTGGTTTGCTTTCAGAATTGAACAGCAGAGTGAGTAAGGCGGCAAAGATTCCTCCCTCTGAGCAGCCAAAGCGCGGCTATGAGACCAGCGCCTGTGCTTGCAGAGCCGTGGAGGCCTGTCACGCACACCAGGGCCCACATGCCCTGCACAATGGGCAGAAGGAACCGCGTCTGTACCTAGGCTTTGCCGGCAGGGCCCAGGCTACCTAGGCACACAGGACTGTGCAATCTTCTTGTCACTATGATGGGAGCAGGGTCTTCTTTCTCTTTTTGAAGCACCGTGGCCACTGGTATACGTAAATTTACCTTCTGGTATATGGCTGTCAATTCTGGAGGACAGTCCTGGATATAGCAGGATAAACGTGCACCTGGGCAAAGCTTCCCATTGGTGACTGGACCCAAAACTCAGGCCACTGGCTTCAGAGTGTTTATTTATTAGACAAGAAAGACCAGAAAGTCTTTCCTTCTGCCCTTGCACACTGACTTGGCAAGTGCTAGAATTCAGGAACCGTGGGCTGACTTTGACCGTTCGCCCTTGGTAGCCTCAGATGGGTCCTGGGTGCTCGCCCGCTGCCTCTGTGTGTGCGTCCAGGCACTCAGCCTGCATCGCGCACCTGTGAGAGGCCAGGCACTGTGCCAAGGCCAAGGCGCCGACCGTGAACCTTCCACCCCCACCGCACTCACGGTTAGACCGGACACAAGCAGACAGGCCACTTCATAGCAGTGTAGCTTAGCGAGGCCAACACCAGCCACATTTGTCCCCTACAGCAGGGGTTCCCAGGCTTGGCTGCACCTGGGGAGCTTTTAGAAACTACACATGCCTGGCCCCCACCCCCAGAGTTCTGAGTCTGTGGACCTAGGGCTGGACTTCACTATTTTTAAAAGCTTCCCAGAAAGTTTCAGTGTCCAGCCAGGGTTGAGAATCCCTGACCCAGGATATAGGAGTTTGGTTTACAATCTCACTTTCTGTAGATGAAACAATGATAGTACCCCACATGCCTCTGAGGCTTCGAAGAACTGTGATTTGATCACTCCTAAGACCAGGGTCCTGTGGAGATGCATCCTCCTTCCTGTGTGTGTAAAAAAGCTGGTGAGAGCCTCAGTGACCCCAGAGACCACCTGGTGGGGAAGCCCCAGCGGAGACAGCCCCAGGAGGCCTCCAAGAACTACGATCACTCACTTCCGTCTCTGTGGCAAACGACCCAACCAAAGCAGGACACATGGGCCCCAAGCAAAGAAGACAAACACCCTGTCTAGTCTTTGGGTGCCCTTAAAATGTGCTTTTACAAATGGATTATGTTTAAAAATGATTCACTATTAAAGAAACCTAAAAGAAATTGCAAGCATTAAGATGGGGCTTTGCATTTATTGCTCCTGTACCCATCCTATTAGCATTTTTAGAAAAACCAAACCTACAGCAGTCACAGAAAGGCTCAGGGAAGACCCTCCACCCCTCTGAGAGGAGCCTTGGCTGGGCAGAGGCTGCTCTGAGGCTGGGGAAGGGGCCCCTCTGGGAAGCGGCTGTTATTGCAGCTGGTTGGCCGGCAGCCACGCTGAGCTCCAGTGCCGGAATGCTGCGCCTTCTGTTCTGGGCTGTTTCTCATACGCACGTAAGCCAGTGTATAAATAAGGTTTTATTAAATACCAAATCAGTTCTCATTAACAAAGAAAGAGGGAAAATCTCAGTAAACCACTGTGACGGCACCTGCCCCTGTTGTGTGAGGAGCTGGGGGTGTGGGTGCAACCTCCGAGACCGGGAACCTGCAGAGCCAGAGAATCAATCAGAGAGGGGGATGTGAGGTTAGCACCAACTGAGACCAGCTGTGTTTTCCCTTGGTTCCTTGGAGATCAGAAGTGAGTGTTGTCATCCTCCAATAATCCAAATGCAGTACCGCGGCCTCATCCCATCCCACCCATCTGCACACGTACACCCACGCACGCTCACACTCATTTGCACGCCATTGCACATGCTCACTTGCCAGTGCGCGCGCACACACACACAAATCGGTGACCTCAGGGGGCTGAGAAAGAAACAAGAAGCCAGGTGATTGGATTTTCTCCAGTGGAATTTAGCCCCTCTTGGTTTCACCTCCATTGAGACAGCTTGAAGGAGCTTGTCTTCGCCTGTAGCCTTTTGAGGTTTAACACCCCCAGCTTGAAACCCAGATGCTCAGCCCTGGGCCCAAGGTATCATTAGTGCCAACACTACCTGAAATGTTTTGCACCTCGTAAAAAATGGCGTGTCAGTTTCGGGTGAGGGGTTGGGAGTTTTCCCATCTGATTTGGCCCAAGGCATGCATGCCCTCCTGCCCCTCTTCCTCCTACCCCCTCCCCCTCTCCACTCTGCGATCCTTCCTGTTTTCTCTCCAACTCTGGTGCACAGCTTTCAAATCTTGCTGAGAAGCAAATCTGTCCCTTCTGCTGTGAATGTTTATTTGTGGAAGTTCAGCAGGGAACTGAGGGCGGGTGCCAAGACCTGCCATACTGCTGGGAAATCTGAGTTTCCCTCCCTCCCCCCTTCCCAGAGGATGTTGATAGAGGAAATTTGGCCTCCCAAGCATTTTGGCTCACAGTTTTCCCCTTTGCAAATGCTTCCAGTGTGGCATGATTCAGCTTTCTTTCCTTTCCCTCAACTACTACTCTATCGCGGTTTTTACTTTCCTGACTTCATTTTACCCATGTCTCTTTGTCTACGGGGTGGCTGAACATTGAGTTCCAGGGAAGGAAAGACCCAGTCCTGGAGTCCTGACTGCATGTTCCTATCAGTGTCCTGCAAGGTCGTTCTTGGCTCTGCTTCCTGAATTCCTGAGTTGCTGGGGATACGTGTGGGTGGACTGCCCCCGCCCAGTGAGAGCCAGCCATGGTTCCCACTCTGTGGGGTCATTCATTGCAGTTTGTTAAATTTCAACTCTGTGTTTCAATTTACGGGTGGATATCGCTGTGTTAAAAGTCTCTGGGAAAGCCCCCACATCTCCAGGATTTTACAATGAGGTCCCATTAATAACTTCATGATTTCCTCTCTCTTCCCATTTCTAACTGTTGGACTGTCAACTTTCTCCCTCTTCTGCGTGAGGGTTTTCGGAGGGGAGATGATGCCTGAGTGCCAGCAGCACCTGAGAGCAGCAGAGCTGTTGGGAGGAAGCAAAACTTAAGTCAGAAAATAAGTTTTTTGGATTTTTTGAAAATTTTTAAGCCACAGCAAGGATATTTGACATATGGCATTAGTATTTATTCTGCCTCCATCTATAAAAATCTGTGCCTATTACAATCAAAATGTCCCCTGGATTTCAATAAAGAAGAAATAAATAAATAGAAGAGAGACCTTTTCATGTACATCAGGCCCACTGGCCTGATTATCATTTGCCTGCCTTGATTTCTTTTAGGCTCCAGGCATGCAGTATGGACGGAACAGATCAGATGTTGTTTTTATGGATTTAAAAAGAAAGAAATACTGAGAGTTCAAAACTTAAGTCACTTAGGACACAAGCAGACCCCTGGGAAGGCTGCTAGTTAGGATAATAGGTCCTGAGGTCCTGCACTTTATTCAGTAAATACAGATTGAGCACCTACAGTATGTGCACCAATGTGTGAGGTATCAGGTTCTCGCCAGAGTAAATTGGTTTTAAGAAGGATTTTGGCTTCTGATATTTTTCATCTC